GTCTAAATTAAATTAATGAAAGACAGTGGATATTAACAGATATTCCAGAAGTCCAACCTTGAGTAAAAACCAAAAGACCCTTGACGAGTAAGCAGATTTCAGTAATATTAATCCAACTAATAATCATAAATTGGGTTTTGCCCTTGACTATAATGACTTAATAATTAAGTATAACTTACAGTTCTAGTTATGTAATATATTCATAATCTTCTGTTGACATTCCACAAGAGGACTGACATGAGTCGAGATGACCTGGGGCAGGCCCATGCAAATATAAAGCCGACATGCAAAACCATACACAAATGCCTGAGTTAGGTTTGAATAATGCTGCTGGCTTTCGAGTACCAGGCCAGAACAATATGTTTTCAGAATATTTTGCATTACATGGATGAAGTAGATCAGCCTTAGTGTGGGTGTGCAAAGAGCTAAAGATTCTCTCCCACTACAACTGTTGCCATGGTGGCCATCGTGGATACCAGGCTAATTGCATGGTGACATAAGCAGTATTTAATCTTGCTTTTGTTCATACTTGATCCTGTTTAAAAGATACATTTAAATTCCGGCAGTTAAGCAAAAGAACATTGGTTTTATAGGATTTGAGCATGAGTGTAGATAATAATTGTGTTGTTTCAACTAACTAATTATGGATTTTACACAGTCTTGTGTATTTCATAATCCTTTCACAAAGGTTATTTAGCTTTTAATTTATCCCTGTGCTAACCTATTTAGGTCTATTTGTGACTGGATGCTGTAACATAGGTCAGTTTGTGTAATTTTGATAGAGAACCTGTATTTTGCACAACTAAAGCAGAGGATCACTTCACTCTTCCTCATTCATACAGTGCAACCAGGATAAGGAAGCTCCTTCGTAGTATTGACAATGAAAACATTACTATTATTTTCCAAGGAGGTTGAGAATTTTGTTCTTTTCATAATTTATTTATCTTAAAAGCAATACAAATTATTTTGCATATTTAATAACTTGACAGTCCAAAGTTCCGTACATAAACACAACATAAAAGAACACACATAGTGATCAAAATAAACAACATAGTGAGAGTATAAGTGAAGTTAGACAAAGAAACCGTGAGTAACAATTATTTTCCTGCTAGAGATCTATTGTTCAGTGAATCCAGTATAAAGCACTTTAGGAACCAAAGCAAAAACAAAGTGCTTTACAGGTTTGCTTTACAGCCCTTTTTTCTCCTACATTCAACTGACCTTCCCATTGTTCCACTAATTCGTTAACCTCGATTTCACCAGTAATGTCATACTCTGACAGGAGGAACATCTCAAATCTAGATCTGCCAGCTCACGCAGATTAAATGCTTTCAGCGCTGATGTCATCTGCAAGGGTCTGAGCACAAAAGACTTATTTCTTCATGTTGATGAAACTTTCTAATTTCTTCTTTTTATCCATGTGAGTCTCTTCAGGTTTACCTGAGAGTTGAAGAAAACTTTCAGTCCCCATAATCATCTCACTCTGTGTGAATCATACAACTTCGAATCATTGTTAAAAATCAGTGGATAAAGATTCATTATATACGTGACAATGTGTTTACTATGTTATGCACTGAATGAAAGTGCAAAATTAGAATTTTACTTAATCAAATTTTATATTTTCATCTTTTAGATCCAGCTTTAATTTTAATTATATCAGTAATAGTATTGCATATGATGAATGTCTTTTCATGTTCTGTAACAACTTCATACATTCTTTTTGGTCCATATGAAACTAGCAGTTCCCAGTCTTAAAACTGCCAGAACTGCAACTTTTAGATGCCGACTAGCCCTCCTGGATGAGCAACAAAATAAAGGTATCATTTCCTTTCAGTTGGCCTAAAAAATTTAAACTTCTTAGGACATCCTGTTCTCATCTCTAAACGTACCAGACATCTAATTCTATGGATAAAAAACATTATCTGCAAGGAACAACAGATCTTACTCTTGAGATCATCATCAGCGTATCTTATTGCTACAAGTCCAAATCCCATGACAGGCTGTCTCGTTAGCCTCCAGGAGATCATTGTCACAGCAGGCTGGACCATGTTTGTATTTATGCAGAAGGTGCCCAACTTGCTGATTTACCCCATCCCAGCATGTTGTCACCTGTCCTACCTACCTTGGCTCTGTTGAGCATGAACCATTCCCTCCTTGGTAGGTCTGCTCCAGGGGGAAGTGTCTCACTGGTGGGTGGCAATGCCTTATTGTTGTTTGAATCATTGTCTTTCAACCTCTCCACCTCAAAGGTCTCTGATGGAACTGCTCGGACACCTTGAACAGTCGTAAAGCTGTGACGTGATCTTAGCCGATGAGGGAATAGGAAATATTACATATTTTGGTGTATATACTTCATAATGAATTCTTTCTTGGGCCCTGCATTGAATTTTTAGTGGACAAAAAAGTAATCTCCAAATATGGCTCTGCTTCTCCACTCAAACCACAAGAAAATAAAAAACACCTCAGCAAAGAAATGCGCCTATCTTTCATCTTAGATTTCTTAATATTTTTGTCCATACGGCTTCCTTTAATGACCAGAGTATTTGCTCTGTTTGTCCTGAAACATTTCCAAGAAATCAATCTTTTACTCTGACCACCACATTACTTTAAGCAAACATATTACACCCAAAGTTCCACAACAGGACGCTCAGGCTGGTTGGCTCTGCCAATGCGGTGTTAATGTGGGCGGAGAAGAAGTTGTCAAGAGTGTAAGTGTGAGTCAGACTGCTTAGAATAGTGTGATCATCATTTGTAACACCTCATTTATCTCAGCCGTAACAGCTTTTCCAGCAAAATGATCTCATTGATATAAACTGTAAATTTGAAACTGTGAATGCAGCTTATCTAAACTATATAGTAACACTGGGTCTAGTCCATAATGCAGTTATTCTAACATAAACAGTTTTTTTTACTTGTATCTACATATAGGTGAGCACTGTTGTCATAATGATTCCAATAATGCATATTTGATTTGATTTTTTGATTTTTAAAACATAGATTTAAACAAAAGTATACAGTAGATGATTTTAAGATGATTTTAAGATTTTAAGTCACCTGCTCTAATTGTATCTGGAGGAGCTGTGGCAAACTAAAGCTCTGACTCTGCTAAAATGACGATGATTATCATTAGTTGTGGGTTCATACCTGACCTGCATTGAACAGTGACAATAAGTTCTGAAAGGTAGATGAAATAATGTTTGCAAACATGTTAGAATCATGTGGACATTTTTTTTCTACAGATGGGCAGCTGCTGGATGTAACTTGATAAAGTTAAATACAGCACAATTAAGAGGAAAAAAAACATGTTAGAATGTCTTCCATGTGATAAAGGTTCAGGATACGGCGACAGTTCCATAAATTGGCCAAGAAGATAGACCTTAAGATAAGTATCTCTTTTTGGTATCCATCATCGCTGACAAATTGTACGTAACAGTTATGGTTTTAATCAAGGCGAACTACCAGGTGTAAATGTTGGGGCCCCTAAAGGGCGGATTATACTTCTGCAACCACACACATCAAATGTTTGCGTCATAGCAAACCAGTTTTGCTGATATGCTTCTGCAGCGTCGGTCAGGAATTTCTAGGGACGCACAGCAGTTTCCCCCAAAGCGCAAGGGGGTGCCTATTCGAGAACTCGCAAGAACTTCGGCGGATGGTCACGAGAACTTCTTCGGCGTCGCCAGCGGGAGTGTTTATTTTCCAAAACAACAATGGCGCGTCTGGAAGATATCACTGTTACAGAGAAGGATCTAGTGTATCCATTGTTGTTATTCCTCGGTTTTTAGAAATGGTGCAACCTGGCACCGAATCGAGAAGGACGACGAAACAGACAGCCGGAAAGGCATACCAATGCCAAATACAGCTGCTTTTTGTCTGCGCACCTCTGCTTGAGGTCTGGGCGGGTTTGCAACGTCCGATGTGTTTTCATTTTTTTTTTTTAGGTGTACACAGGGACAGATTTAACAGTTTCAGAGGATATGCGTCAAAAGTATAAATTGGCCTTAAGAGGTCACTGCTGTCTCTGATTACCGATATTTACGCCATTGCAATGAAGCAAGACAAATGATTAAGAACCAAGCATTTTAATGCTTTAGAACATTGCAGCCACTGAGAATTACTGGTTTTACAAAGGACTATGAGAATAATTGTAGTGTTTTAAGGAACTATGCTGGTCACATGCTCCTAATGACAGTGACTGAAATACATTTTTGAAAGCAAGACAGCTAGGGAAGCAAATTATGATTAAACAGTGGACACTCGGATGGTATATCGTTAAAATATTAACAAAAATTTGTAATTTCTTTCATTTTATCCAATAATTTGTGTTGTTTTAAAACAATGCCGTTGTAACTAGTGTTTGCCCCGATACCGATACCAGTATCGGACGGAGCCCTGATACTGCCCTAAAATGGTGGTATCGGTATCGGCAAGTACCAACCATTTTGAGAGCCATAAGTTTATTCAACTATTGTCCCCCACTCCTAAGAGGCAATAAAAAGTTCTACTGGATTCACTTTGTATTATATTTTTTCCTGCTTCACAAAGGTAGGCAGCAGCTTGACAAAGCCATGATGGCAATTATTTTACATTATTATGGTATCGGTATCGGCCGATACTGCACAGCCAGGTATCGGGTATCGGTATCGGGGCCAAAAAATGGCATCGGCGCAACACTAGTTGTAACATCACAACACACAAAAATGTTATGGAAAAAGCATTTGCTGTACATTACTGACAGGTTTTGTTTTACTCAATTTTCCCAACACTTTTCATTTTTTTCCTAGCAGTCTATTTCTAATTTAACAAATGGGTGATTTTTATGACCACCCTAACACTCCGTCTATAGAGTGATATAACAAAAAAAGAAAGAAAGTAAACTAATGTGACGCTTTTTTTTTATCACGCAGGGTGTTTTGGATGCCTGGATGGAAAAGTTCTTTTATTTTGAAATTGAGCTCGGATGTAGATGCATGTTATTGAGTCTGTTTTTGCTCGGATCTGTTCTCCTCTTCCACTATGCGGCTGGTGCTGGTCGCTATCATTATGCAGGTGGAATCTGCGCAGTGTGCTTCATAATAGAGATCTGCTACAGGGACCTCAACACACCAGTTCATCTGGGCCCCCAATCAGCTGGACACCGCCGTGGAAGAAGGCAGCAACAAGGCATGGGATAAAAGGACAAATTGGATTTTCTTTTCTTCAGACCTTGAAAGTAAAATTTTGAAAATGCTAAAAAAGCAGATGCTATCTTAATAATAAAAAAAAAAATACTTGGATCTGCGAGGAATTATAACAGGGTGCTGTGTTGTTACAAAGTGACTCCTCTCTTGGCGCAGTCCAAGCAGTCGCAGAGGATGTTATCCAGTTCCAAAGGAAGTGAAAGTCCCAAACAGCAAAAAAGGACGTAATCTTTTGGGCATCTCTTCTTTTTGCGCACACCGGAGCTATGGATGAAGGTACCGCCAGCGACACCATCCCAGATCTCAAGGATATAGAGACAAAAATCGGCCGTAAAACCCCCGAGGGTTTGCTGAAGTGGATGCGAGAAGATGCCTGTTCTCTTCGCGGGGAGGGCAAACTGGCCCCTCATCAGGACACCAGCAAAGACACTGGAAGGAAGAGTTTGGATGAAAAGATTAGAAAACTCAGGATGGAGATGGTGAGATTGCGCTGTGCGTTAGTGTCCACCAGTGGATGCTGATCCAGCTGGTCTGTGTCAGTCAGCGCAGTGTGGAGCTGTCACACTGACGCAGATCAACCACCTGATTCAGAAGGTGGTTGTGAACACTTAACCAGATTTCAGGAAATGAATCAGCCACACTGAGGGATAATTCTAGCAGCATCAAATGATTTGAGTTACAGTAAATCGGAATACAGCAGTTTAGAATCAATAAGTTGAAATATTTTTGTAAAATTAATAAAACCTTATTCATTGCACATCATTTTTGCCTTTTACACCCCTGAGGGAGGGATTTGAAAATGCTTTTTTCCATGCAAAGAAATATTTTGTTGGACTGCACTTGGCAGCAAAGAGGAAAGCATATGGTTGGCGTTTTTAGGTAAAAAAAATATAGCCTTTTCAAATAATCAACAGAAAGTTAATATGCAACAGTGCATATTACTTTAGATATCACTTTTACCATAAACATTTTATTATTTCCCTACCTTAGACAAGAAGGTCTCCTTGCCATCTCCCTAATCTTGAGTTACCTTTCAGTTTTTGCAATCTCATTTAAAACTTTAATATTAGTCCTTGTCAAAAGAAACGTTCTCATAAATCTAAAACATTACTCATAAAATTATTTCAACATTCTGGTCAATTGAACTGCACTGTGTAAGAGTACTAAGGAAATAGAGGTGTGTTTGTGTCTGGACCTGTCAGAAATACTATACTAAATATGTTAATAATTAACATCTTAAATTCTAATAATTATATTTCTATGCGGATCTAAATTGGTTAGATAGATTGAGCTCGTCCACCAGAAGCAAATGTTATTTATTTATTTTTTTTTTAGTTTAAATATATAAAAAAATGATTTTGTAATGTTACCAAAACATTAGCAGTTAAAGGTGGGCATGTGAAGGTTATCGGTTGAATGGTCTACCAAGGGTTTTAAAAAGATACACCCTCTAAACTGTTATTCTTCCATTGTTTCAGACTAATTTTAAAAGAAAGTTAGAGAAAGTGCTGAAGTGAGTTGAGTGTTCTTTTTACTTTATGAAGCATTTCAAACCCTCCTTCTAGCTTTGCTATGCATTGGGGTCAGCTGGCTCAAAGCTAAACAAAACTTAGACACAGTTTGTGGAAAAAATACTGTTGGAAATTTTTGTGTTTGTGAAAATCTCACATGGGCCATGTGGTTACAACTTAAAATGAGTGTTCCCTTAAAGGGATAGTTCGGTATTTTTGACATGAATCTGTATGGCATCCCCATCACCAGTGGCATGCAATCACACTGACTTACCCCTGGCAGCGTCCTGTGAGCAGAGTTATCGTCCAGTTTTGGTCAAGCCGAAAGTAGTCCGGCAGGTTTTTAGGACCAGCGAAATAAAACTTTTCTCTTCCCAAAACATTATGTGTTCAAAAGAGTGATATTTTTGCATCCCAAAAATGGGATGCAAAAAGCTCCTAGCTGGGCGGACCGAGACATGCATCTGGCTGTTGTTGAGCTTGCTGTCTGAATGACGGCGCGCACTGATACGAACAGAGAGAAAATAGGACCAATTGATAACGACGTGTGACTTTTTCCACTACAATGTTTTTGGGATGCAAAAATATCACTCTTTTGAACACATAATGTTTTGGGAAGAGAAAAGTTTTATTTCGCTGGTCCTAAAAACCTGCCGGACTACTTTCGGCTTGACCAAAACTGGACGATAACTCTGCTCACAGGACGCTGCCAGGGGTAAGTCAGTGTGATTGCATGCCACTGGTGATGGGGATGCCATACAGATTCATGTCAAAAATACCGAACTATCCCTTTAATTTCCCTTTAAAGAGGCATTACAGAGTTTTCTAATAATGCAGCACCCTTCTGCTCGTTCTCTTACCACACAGACATTCTTTACGAGTTCTTTATCTTTACACACACCTTACACCTTACATGGAGTTGCCTTTGGTGTCCGAGTTCAGCTGGATGCTGGTCGCTTCTTAGTATCAACAAATTCACTCTTGAATCTAACGTGTGCATTGTTTGGTACTGTAGGTCAGACCCATTCAACATGGATGCGCTGTTCGGCGGATGTGACATCAAACTCAAACGGAAAATAGGCTACTGGCTTATAGATGCAACAGCGCTGAACTACTGAGGTGTCAGTCTGCTCATCAAAAAAATGCTATTTTAAAGTTTTTATTTTTTTTATTAATAAAATGTATATAGTGTCTCTTTAGGAAGAGGACGGGAGTGGCGGCCTAGTCGGTAGAGCATAGAGCTTGGAATCCTGAGGTTCTGAGTTTGAGCCCCACTCCCACAGACTGCCACTATCCCCACACTGCTCCCCAACGGAATGGGATAAATGCGAGGTAAATTTCTCCAATGTGAGATCAATAAAGTTTAATAATAATTAACTTCTTTTCAGTTAAACAGTAAGTTGCCAATAAGCTGGTATTATAAACTATTACTATTACCAAAAATGTGTGAATAGTCAAGCCAAACCACGAATAACTTTAGTTAGTTTATTATTTGATGTTGTTAAAAGGGATTATGTTACTTAAAGGTTTAATAATCATCCTTCCACGCTTAAGTAAGCATTGTTAATGTTAATTTCCTTAGTAATACCTACCATTCATTAACTGTTTGAAGCTTCTTATTACAATCAAACCATGCTTGAAAACACATTATCTTTAATTGAAATATTTGCTATCTGCTGTCTGGTTGTATCCAGTTTGCTTGCAAATAATACAAATTTGCAAAATTGGCATTAATTTATTTCTCTACACTTTTTTTCTGACGATACATTAAATTTTTCAGTTCTTAATTATCACCCTCTTCTGTAATGAAGACAAGGCTGCCTGTTCTTTGTTAATGCAAATTTCTGCCCTAGAAAGCTTTCATGTGATCTTGTTTACATAGATCCCTATCCTCCTCCAAGCTGCAGCATAAATCCATTGCTCCAAAGTTGTTTTCTCTTCCCTTACTTCACATGCACGTATTGCATTCCTGCGGCAGATGGAGGCATGCATGCAGCCTGCGGTTCTAAAACAGAGCCATGCACTGCCACACTTAAACAAAGTCAATCATTGTCTGAGGAAGTTTCTTCCAAATGCACTGATTCCATTCAAGGACATCCTATGTTGATATCAGTTTGTTAGATGTAAAGATGGATTTCCCCACAGGACTTTAGTACAAAGCAATGATAGAAAAAAAATCTGCAGCTTTTAAAAAAAGATTTATTTTTTGTGTGCTTTGTGTTCCTTTAAAAGAAACACCTAAAGAAACTCTAAGTTGTTACAAGCATGAGTGGGATAAAAACAGGTTTTATTACCAGATAATAGCAAAGTAAACCCGCTTTATCTACAATTGATATTTTGTACACAACAGTTTGGGAAAGCAGAATGTAGAATGACCTTTAAAGGTGAGCGATTAAATCACTTGCTTCAAGGCACTGATGATATGCAGCAAGAAAGTCATAGGTTTGAATCACAGCAAGGGTTTTTCAGGATTGATCTTTCAACCACCCCTTTAGATGAATGATTTTTATTTGAATTCCTCCCAAAATGTAAAATCATGCTTCCTACATAGGTCTGATTGTGTGTTTGTGAGATTTGCCCATTGTGCACAACACACCCAAGCCATAATTTAAGTGATTTCACTTTGATAAGGTGTAAAATGCACCAGTAAAACTGGGTGACCAGAATTGAAATTCTTCCGCTTTCTTGGACAGCAATAAACTTGGAGGCTAATTTCTTGTTGATTAGGAAATCACTGTGCTTTGATGTGCGCTGCCGGCACAGACGAAAGTACATTGTGTGGATGCTGTCAATGAAAGAACAAGCTTGACTGAGGTCTTTAAAATGACATCAGATGAAGAGCAGATATTAGAAGCTTTTAGAGAGGAAGCTGTTAAGACTTGTCTGCCATTCAAGGTTCAAGAGAGTAATGGAATGTATGAGCTGACACAAATAACATTAAGGTTGAACTGACCACAGCAGAGAAGCTGCATTTCCTCCTTTCAAAGTTTCAGCCTGATGAGTCTGCTGTTTTTGTAATGCTAGCTCTACTAATCAATAGCATAAGAGGCTAATGATAGTTTAAAATGTCATATCTTTATTTAACAATCATAAAATCCATCTATTTTGCACATGTTGCAACTTTATCTCCCCTCTTTTTACAAACCACTCTTGTTCCTGTGACCTCAACACCTTTAATTATAGATAACAGAGTTTTTTTTTTACAGTTTTTCACTGCTTAGCAGAGGTGGGAGATGGCGAGCCATCAAGTTATCGCTATGGGTTGTTCAATTTGAGAAATTGACCCAGAGTGGGGAAGAATGTCCCCAGAATACATTATTTTTAGAGGCCAGTTTGGCTATGGACTCAAACAGGTCCAGTCTTCTCCGGCTTTAACCTCCCATACACTCTGTCACCTAGCAACCACACAAAGCAGGGAAAGAATGGATGCCAAACTTCTTACTACTGTTCTCGGTGCTAATTATATTTTTTAGGAGCTTCAGCAGCAGTACCGTCATTGGGAATATCATATTTATAGTCCCCACACTGCAGAGATATTGGAATCTGAGCTTACATGTCAGCCAAACCCATTTGCACAGGGACAGATAAAAACCTTTCAATAAACCAAACATTACCTGTCACCTATCTGAGGAGGCGACCCGGCCAGAGGCTGCTGATGAATGGGAAACCTACTGACAGCGCACCGCCGGTATGTGGGGGTCTGAGCGGCTCCGACAGAAATAATATTGGAATATCTGGATGAACTGACAGCAATGATTAATATTTCAGTTGGACTTTCTCACTTAAAAACATATTAAAACTACTTTATTCCCACTGATCACAACAAATATAGCTGCAAGACAAAGAAAGGATAGAGTAGCTCCGCCCAACGCGCATCAGACACACTTTTGCACCGCGCAGCCAGAGCAGCAAAGCTGCTTCAGCCGTGCGTCAGAACTAACTGGTACAAGCAGCAAAAATGAAGCAGC